ACCGGCCATATCCCTCCGATCTTCCGTTCGTTTCACCATGGAGCTATAAACACATGGTTTCACTGATTTTCTTTTCGAAAATAGGCAACTATTTGAGCTGCGGGTACGAGTTGACTCGGGTACGAGTCAACTCGGGTACGACTTGACTCGGGTACGAGTAGACTGGGGTACGACTTGACTCGGGTACGACCTAACTCGGGTACGACTTGACTTGGGTGTCAATTTTGGGGTACGAGTTGACTCGGGTACGAGTTAACTCGGGTACGAGTTGACCCATTTCCTCGCGAAGGGGGGCAAGCGCCCCCCCCCCCCCCCCCCCGGAAAAGCAAAATAAAAAAGTCATATTGGTGTAAATTTAATGGGGTGGGGCCGGGGGGGGGGGGCAAAATGTCCCTGCACCCCCTTTGAAACTGATAAATCGAGAATATGTTGAGAAATACAGGAACTATTTTGGGAAAATATGTTTTGCCTCCTCCCTAGAAAAAAATCCTGGCGACGCCCATGTTCATGAGCAAGAGCGATACAGTCGAGGCGGTGCAGAAGAAATGCATGTGCGGCATACAGCTGGCTTTGTCGAAACGTGCATCCTTTCCAGACCGTTGACTTGCCTTACTTGACATGTTGTAGTACATGTACGTTTTTATTTCCGTTCATCAAATAAGAGAAAAACTGTGAGGTTTTAGCAGTACCCCCGTAGTTCCAATATATATATGCATCTATATGTAAGAGTATGAAGCCCGGGAAGGGACAGGGTGGAATTTTTTTTTTGTAATTTGCTTATTCGTTCCCACTAATTGCTAACTCGTTCCCATTACTAATTCGTTCGCACGAATTACTAACTCGTTCGCACGAATTGCTGTTTCGTTCACACGAATTGCTATTTCGTTCGCACAAATTGCTAAATTGTTACCACGAATTGCTATTTCGTTCGCACAATTTCCTGGGAACGAATTGCTAACTCGTGCATCCGGGAACGCGTTAGTAATTTTTGGGAACGAGTTGGTAATTCGTGGGAACGAATTAGCAATTCGTGGGAACGAATTAGCAATTCGTGCGAACGAAATAGCAATTCGTGCGAACGAAATAGTAATTCGTGCGAACGAGTTAGCAAGTCGTGCGCACGAATTAGGAATTCGTTCGAACGAATTAGCAATTCGTGCGAACGAATTAGCAATTCGTGGGAACGAATTACCAAATTACAAAAAAAAATTCCACCCTGTCCCTGGCGGGCTTCATATAAGTGCAAGTTTTACTCGGCCTCCGAGAAAATTGCTCCTGAAAGGATCCGAGACCGCGGTCTCCCGCGGCGCCAAAATCGCTCCACGTCCGTAGAAAAATGTGGAGGGTGTCTTCCGCCGGGTCGTCCTAATTTTCCCGTACGGACCGGCGATCCGTTTCGTCGATTTTTCGTGACTGCGTTTTGCACAAGAATTTGCCGTCGTGTGCGCTTTCACGTTAACTGCCTGGCCGCCCTCTGTGCTGGCTTTTCTTCGAGTGAAGACTGTGCGTGTCAGCGGCTTCAGCGTAGGGGTTCCGTTTACGTGTTCTACTTGGATGTTCTACAAAAGTGTTCACCAAACAGTAGAATGGGGTGACCTTGGCAAAATATTTGTTCTCCATGGTGCGTGGCCCTATTGTTTCCTATGCTTTGCTTGCCGACCCTGCGCTGAGTGCAACGAATACTCAGAAGGACTACACATTAGTATGCCTACGCGGTCTGACCAATCGAAAGTTTTCACGGTGTACTTCCGGGCTCTGCGTAAAACCGTCGATGGCAACGCGTACTGCAGCCTGCTCCACACCCTGGAAACATAGGCGTAGCCAAGGGGGGGGGGGGGGGGGGCCAAGGGGGGGGGGGGGCCATGCCCCCCCCCCCCCCTGCTGTAAAAAAAATGACATTTTACCAAAACCCGATGTTAATTACGAGTCAATACGAGTATGTGTATTTGATTGTCCGAAAATCATGTGATGCCTTTTTCTCTAAAAAAAGAAAGAAAAAGTCTTATAAACTTTTGCTCAAATAATTCAGGGGAAAGGGGCCAGAAATGGCCTCAGATTGCACCACAGAGCATGTAGAATCAAAAATTTCCAGGGGCCCTTAAGCGGGGCCCCGGACCCCATGCCGTATTAAACACGTTCTTGACCAAGTTGAATAAAACTTATGGAAAATTCTTAATACTGTATACGATGTAAACTCAGGCAAAACAAAGGAATACCAAAAACATATAAGGTCGAATAAGAAGAAAAATATGTTTTTCGTCCAGGTTTTTGAAAAAAGGAGGAAAAGGGGCTTTATATTTTTTATTTTTTATTTTCTTTTCAAGATGGCCGCCATTTTAAAATTTCCTGCAACCGTTGGTGTTTCCAAAGTTCAAAGACACTTTTAAAAAGAAAGACAAGTCGGACAAGAGAACCGAACATATTTATAGTGTCATTTAGAGTTGTATTGGTATTGGTATTTATTTTCCGATGAGTAGGTGACTAGTGTTTTGTGTTTGTTTACTGAATTTTTTCAAAAGTAAAAAATAATTTTAAAAAATCCAGGCGGCCACCAAAAAGGAAGCGGGTGGGGACGAGAAACATGTTTTTGTTTTTTTACTTTGCCGAAGGCAAAAGAAAAATGTATTTTCCCAATTAACAAAGTCCACTAGACATTTCCAAAGCAGGCAACAACTTGTTCGCTGGTGATCTGGGGGGTGTGGGGCGTGGGGCACCTTTTTTCCCCTTTAAAAAATAAAAGCAAGATGTAGAGAGGGAGAGAGACCCAAACAGAGAAGAAAGGGAAGGTAGAGACACAATTGATACGGCAGTTCACGTCAAACTGTAGCCTGCTAGGATTAGTTGCACACAAGACAACAATTATTATAGGGGGTCTGTCATACTTTTAGCTTTAAGAAAATAAAAAAGTGACGGGATCAAGAACTGCAACAAGACATCGCATGGCGACGAAACCTATGCTAGTATGTTGTACATTACACAGGAAAATGCACCCAGACCTCTCTATAGCATGCTGGACGCACGGCGGACAAGCCTTTGGAATTGGTGTCTATCAGGGGGGGGGGGGGGGGGGGGGGAACTTGAACATTGCACATGTCTTAAAGTCATGGACGTCAATCCTGGGAAGGGGACATGTCCCCCCCCCCCCCCCCCCACTTTTTGAAGGGTGGGGGACACAATATCAAATGTCCCCCCCCTCCGAACCCAACGCCTTTAGCTGAGAATATAATAGGCCTAGCTTATTCAATGACTTCAACCTCGAAAATAATGTTTAAATAATATTATGAACTTTCGCTAAGAAAATACTGGTTAAAGTAAATTGGCGCAGATCGCAGCACAGAGCATCTACAGAATCAAACTTTTTGGGGGGACGCGACCCAAAGCCTAGCTCAGAATAGCTGATTCAATGACTCCAACATCGAAAATGATGTTTAAATTATTTTCTTTTGCTAAGAAAATATTGGTTAAAGTGGTCAGAAATGGCTTCAGATCACACCACAGAGCATCTAGAATTCAATTTCGCGCTCGCATTAGTTCTGATCCAGGTATGTCCCCCCACTTTTGAGAAGCGATTCACGCCCCTGCTAAAAGTTGGGGTATCGTATCGTTTGTCCCACCCACTTTTTTCATCCCCGAATACATCTTGTAGAGTACAGTTTGATTTTAGAAGTTTCAGGATAGCTGATTCAATGACTCCAAACTCGATGTTTAATTGATGATCTTTTACGAAATAAATATGGGTTAAAGTGGTTAGATATTGCCTGAGATCGCACCATGTAGAACATCTAGAATCCAAAATTTTCCGGGGCCCTTAAGCGGACCCCTGACCCCACGCCACGCATTACTTTTCGTTACTCCCCTCTTTGGCCTTCAGCGTAGGCGACACAACTTGCCTTCACCACTTGCTGCTGGTTACATTTCACACATATATACCCTTTTTGGACAATCCTAGTTCCGCCCCTGGTTGGGGTTTGTACAGGCCGGTCGCACTTGGCCCCCCCCCCCCTGCTCCAAATTCCTGGCTACGCCTGTGCCTGGAAACAAGGTTGGGTCGCACAGAGTGCTGTTGCTTCCAATCATGGCTGATGTTGTGAGTTCGTTGCCCGTCAGCCACGTATAATTCGTGGCGTGTTATAATTTTGGGGCCCTGTTTTGGGATCAAGGAAGGCTCAATGTAATTACTTTAAATATTGCGATCTTTGAACTACGGGTACATTGGGTTGTATTGGAATAACAAAGAGTGCCTTCATGTAAATAATAATATCCATTGGCGGTTGTTAGCTGTTACTGTTAGGTCTTGCTTTATTAATGGTTGAACCAACTGGAAAAAAAAAAGTTGCATCGACTTTTCCTCACATGTGTCGAAAATTATCTTTTGCTCAAAACAATTGGTTTTAGTGGTCAGAAATTGTCTTAGATCGCACCACAGAAATTGCTTTTCTATAACTGCATGTCTTCTCAACTAAATCCCCCATTTACATTGAACTCCCCACACTTTCAACCCCAACACAAATACGCCCTACCCGATCTATGATCGGGTAAATCAGCTTGTGTATATTAAAAGTGACTCGTGACTTGGAATCCGGGACTCGAATTAACTTTGTGACTCGAACTCGGACTCGAACTGCATGACTCGGGATCAAGGTGGCTCGGACTCGGACTCGATGTTTGGTAACTCGAATACAAGTAGGCCTACATAACATGTAAAACTTAAAGACAGATTTTGAGGGATCTTGGAATTTCGAAGAACACTACATGATATGCGCCAGCAGGATATTTAAGAAAATACTTTTTTTTTTTGAGTTATGGATGGTTTCCCTTTATAATCGAGAAAGTAAACGTATTTGTACAAACGTACAGTCATTCTTGCCTGACTGCCACAAACAGTAGGAAAACTACGGCCCGTGGAGCTAGGCCATCACGTAGCTGATTGGTCAGTGGTCACGGCCGCTGTTTGTGCATATAGTGGCCCCCATAGTAAAGGATGCATGACACTGGAAACACTGAACTCGGTGACCTGCTGCGGCGGACCGGCCACTGTGGTTTTACACTGAAGGCCGGGACCTTATTCACTTTGGTTGAGGCATCAGGCACGTACGGTACCTTTCACTCAGAATGTCGACGGTAAGTAATTATAGATTCTTCCTTGTGTGGCAGCCTGGAGTACTCCACTGTAGTTGATGTTTTTGTTTACATACATTTCTAAATTACTATAGTATATAGTAGCCCTGTCATTCCTGGGCGGAACCTGTTTTATTCAGCGTTTGAATACGAACACGAGTTACTGCTAGTCCAGCAGCTGGAGTTATTTTGGCCTCATCGTCAACTGCATGTTATTATGTGTGGGCGGGATTAAGTTTTGCGATAAGTTACGTACCGTTCAACGCTCCATATCTCAAGAACCATTGCAGTTTAAAGTTTGTTCTCAAAAGTGGGAGACATTATATCACCCACGTACTCTATTAGCCTTTCGCCCTCACTAGACGCCCATATACTGTACATCTGGCTGATTTACCCGATCATAGATCGGGTAGGCCGTATTTGTGTTGGGGTTGAAAATGTGGGGAGTTAAATGTAAATGGGGGATTGAGTTGAGAAGATGCATGCAGTTATAGAAAAGCAATTTCTGTGGCGCTATCTGAGGCAATTTCTGACCACGATAGTAAAACCACTGTATTGTTTGAACAACTTAAAGATCATCTTTTAAACATCATTTTCGAGTTTGGAGTCATTGAATCAGCTATTCTGAGCAAAAGAATATTATATAGTAGCTACAATTTTTATTCGGGGAAAAAAGTGGGGGGGGGGGGGACCAAACGAGTCCAGAGAGGCCAGAGAGGCCACATAGCCTAAAGCTTATTCTCGATCGTAACCCCATCTAAAAACACGTTTAAATTGTGCAGCAGCAGGATTCCAGTCAAATCAGTGAGTTTGGCGGTTTTGAGACATCATGTTTCATTGAAAAAAACTTTTTCATTTTGCCGACGCACATGGCTACGGCGACGCGCGCGCATACCAGAAACCGGAGACTTGTTTTGGCCTAAGGGCATATGCACTTCTGCCGGGCACACAATGGCTACTTTTCAACCACCAAGAACACACGTTTAATCGTTCAATTTTATTTGTCTTTACGTTCAAATGTAGAATGTAGAAGAAAGAGTTAAAAAGATAGTCGTAGAACAACTTGGCGTTGACGAAGCAGAGGTGAGTAAAGTATCGGATTTTATGTTATATACAATTTCAAAACGTTTCAGTGTTAAATCAAATTCCCGTAAACATTATCTTTTTATCGGTAATAGCATATTTATATTGTCGGGAAAATATCCTTAAAGGTTTTAACCTTCAGATTATATACATTTGACTGCATTGGTTTTTTTTTGGTTTTTTTTCGTTTTTAGGTTTTTTCTTTTTAGGTTGTGTGTTGTTTTTGTTTTTAGGTTTGGGTTTTGGGCTTTTTTGGGGGGGGGGGCTCTGTTTTGCTTGCTTTGCTTTGTTTTGTTTTAGCTTGGCTGAATTTATTGTACATGTATTTCATTTATTAAATATTTATTTATTTATCTATTTTTAAAATTTGTTGTTGTTGGGGTTTGTTTTGGGAGGGGGGGGGGGGGGTGTGGGTCGTTATTCCGTACTCTGCAATGAAACCATCCATTACTTGAACGTTCACATTTTTTTTCAAAATGCATATTGTTATACGGGGCCCTGAATCAGACTTTCCCCGTTCAAACATAGGATTAACATGATTAAATGAAGATTAAAGGTCCTGTGGCTTTTTGCGACCGAACAGGAAAAACCCCACTTGTCCATCCAACCCCCTCCCCCATCCACCCGCGTAACTTGAATGCCCACCTTAGCAATTCCCAACATAAAATACATGTACGTTTGTTGCTAGAAAAAATCCATGATCTACGGGGTTGATAATTTGGTTACAACTCTGTGTTCCGACACCCCTATGTTCCATCAATTCAACCTATGTTTCGACACCCCTGTTCCGACTCCCCTATGTTTCGACACCCTTGTGTTTCGACAGTACCCCTATGTTCCGACTACTCAACCTTTGTTCCGACACCTCTTTGTTCCGACATCCCTATGTTCCGACTGCACATATTCTTATGCCTAAACCTAACCCTAACCCTAACCCTAACCCTGACCCTAAGCCTCACCGGGAGTAACACAATCTTATGTGCAGGTTGTCGGAACATAGGGGTGTCGGAACATAGGTTGAGTAGTCGGAACATAGGGGTGTCGGAACATAGACGTATCGGAACATAGTGGTGTCGGAACATAGAGCAGTCACCGATAATTTGAACGTCCAAAGTCATAAACGGCCTGTGTTTCTTAAACCAGGTAAAGAATGAAGCCAGTTTCGTGGAAGACTTAGGAGCAGACAGTTTGGACACTGTAGAGTTGGTGATGGCGATGGAGGAAGAATTCGGTAGGTCAAGAATATGAATATTTATGATGTACTTTAACTGAGGAGTAAAGTTTAAGCATTTTAGTGAGGGCGCTCTACGCCAGAGGTCTATTGTAACTTCGGTCCTTCTCATTCATGCTTTCGCTGGTACCCCCGCCCTGCAAACAGGACGCTGGGATACTCACAGATGATGAACTTCACAGAATCTTGTGAAGGAAGTGGCCTATGACCTATGTATAAAGTATCTGGCTGCAGCCGTTCAAGACCACAGTTAGACAATGTGCGCAAATGCTATCCGAAAACTTCCCATAGAACTTTGAGCGTCGCATAATGCTATCCGACCGTTCGTGATACGAAACGGAGCCTGAGCGAGTGACGGGAATTGTAAATTTACAACACAAATAAGTTTTACAGAATTTCCTACATTATTACGCTTTTCAACGAGAAAAAAAACATCTCTAAACTGGAATAAAAGAGTAATGAATCAGTCTTAACGGCCGTTTCAAACCTTGCAGAGTCAAGACCTTGATGACGCGCCGGTCACTTGTGACGTAAAATCCAACCAATCAGAGCGTGAATTCATCAGAGTATCCCAGCGTCCTGTTTGCTGGGCGGGGGGTACGAGCGAAATTCATGCTTTGCTCGATTTAACTCCTATAGTAGTTTTTTAAATCTTTATCTTGTTCTGGTACTGCTTGTTTTGGGTGTTTTGTGTGCGTTTGATGTAAGTCGACGTGCAACATCATCGATGAATTGAGGACAAGAACCAAATCGAGAACGACCTCGATTAGAAAACGTGAACAAAACCAATGAGAGCTGTTACAAAAAGTTAGAGTATAAATAAAGGAAAAGGGAAGAGGAACGACAGAAAATCCTCGATTTACACCATAAACAAACGTGATTATGTAAACACCGGCAATCGTGGACCTGTAGGACAAAAGGGTTAGGACACAAACAATACGTCCACGATTGACCGATAGTTCCACGATTGAAATTCGTGTACAAATCCAATGATAGCTGTTGCTAAAAAGTTTAAGTACAAACAAAGGAATGAGGATTAGGGACAATAGGGGGTCCACGATCGTTGGTGTTTACAAAGATGTATGTGTGTTTGTGTGTTTTTGTCATTTCATGACCTCGACTTACCTGGATGAATAATGACCCTTGTTTCCAGGTACGGAAATTCCCGACGAGGAGGCCGAAAAGATAACAACTGTTCAAGGATGTATTGATTATATTAACGGTAAGGTCTCGTAGTTGTAGTAAATTAACTTACATGATAATCATGGGCGTCGCCAGGATTTTTTCTAGAGGGGGGCAAAACAATTTTTTGCCAAAAAAGGCTTGTATTTCTCAACACATTCTCGATTTATCAGTTTTAGAGGGGGGCAGGGACATTCCCCCCCCCCCCCCCCCAACTCATTAAATTTACACCACTTTGTCTTCGCGCCTCTTTTTCTTTTCTTTTTTTCTTCCTTTTTTCTTCCTTTTTTTTTTTTTTTTTTTTTTTGCTTTTCCAGGGGGGGGGGGGGGGGGCAAGTGCCCCCCTTGCCCCCCCCCCCCCCCTCGCGACGCCCATGATGATAATCAAACTGGATTTGTAATTGTGACCAACCATATTTTTGGTTTGGGTTTTTAGTGTAATTTCTTTTCTTCGGTTTAGTAAGAAATACCTGGCTACGTCGATATAACAGTGACTCGGTTGGCAGACCCTTTCCTTCAAGTTTGAATTCAACTCAAACAAGTCGAGAACCGAAAGTTAATATGACTGTTGAGAAGGTTTTTAACTTTGAGTTACACTTCATAAAATATAATCCTCAATTTTTTTTTTATCCACATCTGCAGCAGCACTGAACTAATAGCCACCTCTACCTGTGCGGTGATTACGTATCCAGCGTGCCTGATAGCTGATCGCGGCGTCCCATACGGCCTATGAAACATTGTGATCGTTTAATTTTGGTTGTTTGTGTTTCTGTGAAGATTAAAAAACCCATGTAGAACCTATAATAATTATGTTTTTGTTGAAGTAGAGTTTTTGGTGAGTTTACGAGGAATGATGGGTCCAGTCCGGGGATTTGGTTAATCAGTAAAGGACGGCGTAAATTTAAGTTTTCCCGGCTATTTTAAAACGTTTATCATTCGAACTCGCCGTTTCTAATATTCAAGCTCGTCCATCAACATCGATTTAGTGCACTTCCAATGTTTAATTTCGTCTTGTTGTCAGACAATTTCAAATTCAGTTCAAACAAATTCAAACAACAAGCACACGTTTTCGTCCCGGAGCCATTCGATTTCGTCTTGTCAACGCCAAACCTTGTTATTCAGAAATCAAATTCGTCTAGTTTTTATAAGACGAATTCGATCTCTGAATGCTGCCATTCGGCAACAGCTTAGACGAATTTGATCTGTAATGACGAATATTATCGACTCGGTGATTAAAGAGGGTGACCAAACTTTTAAATGGAATGGTAAATGACTAAATCGGGTTTGTTAAAAGAGTGTCCATTTTTTCTCGGACGAAATTGAATCTTACAGTTGGTGAATTTGAATACAACATGTTTTAAAATGGCCAAACAGTGTGCGCATGTGGCGAAATGGCTGAATGTACCATATTTATAGAGCAAGGTAATCGACACGCCTTCGCCACTCACATGACAGTCTGTGCCGAGGAAATGTCGTCGTGTCGTGGGTGACGTACATTACCTTGGTTGCCAGCGGCGGTGGAACGGGTTTGAAACTGGGGGGGGGGGGGGGGGGGGGGGGGGGGGGGCTTCACCAAAAAGGGGCACATGCAAACCCGTGCTGAAAATAATGTCGACACGTTTTTTTCACCGGACACTTGTCCTCCGTAAAATCAAATAAGGGGGGGGGGGGACCATCTTCCAACATAGGGGGCGCTCTTCAAAACCAATGACAACTGGCTATTTTAAAAAACTACTCCATATTTCTTATATTTAGTTATTCCACATTTTTTTATTGCAATTGATTACTCACCTGTGAACGGGTACAAGCCAGCTAAATTGATACTCTGACCGTACAATTCCCCAAGTCTATCAATTGCTCCATTATTTTCATCTTAATTGGGGTCAGGGAACCAGACTACAAGAATATAATTGGTTTTCTTGGTTTTTCCAGCATCTACAAGCCAAAAAACGTGAAACAAGTCAGTTTAACAGTATTTGCTAAAACATACAAATCCTCCAAATGCACTTATTTCTGAAAATTGCAGCAAAAGCCAATGTTGTACATTCCCTTTAATTGTTCGCTGGTGTTATGGTGGGCATTCATCTAGTGATAAGCTCCCCAAGAAGCTTGAGATAAGAGAGGGTTAAAATCCTGGTACGGGCTTTGGGGAACACCCGAATATAGGTTATTCGAGTGTTCTGGTATAAGAGGATTTACGGCATGGTTTACATGTAATAAGCCCGCAGGCACGCAACTTTCCTCGGATCAGCTGATTTCCTCGTGTTTCACTGCGCACTTATGCCATACAAAACTCAACAACAAAAAACTGTATAAAGTCTTATACAGATTGGATTTTCCTCATTTTTAGTTTCTTGCTTATTTGCATGCCTCACATGTACCTGTAAAAGATTTTGTCATTTTGTGAAAACACCGTCGGGTTGAAGCCAGTTGTAATATCACTTTACTAGGTTATTCTCATTTATTATCGGTCCGTTGCTGGATAATTGTAAATGTTCCTATATACTTTTGTTAAATTATGCTTTGCTGATTCAAAGCTGTACTACCTGGTGTTATTTTGATAATTGTGTCCTTTTACTGTAAATATACTTGCTTAGCAGTAGGCCCCTGCAGCCTCGTTTTTAGCGTGCGTCTTTATTACACAGTCTTATGGTGTCCTGGGACTCAGAATAGGGGGCAATGGTATCTCGCAATTCGGTCTTTAGAAATCACAGTACCCCAGGAGTGAAACGCTATTGAGATTTCCAAGTGCGGATCCAGAAAATAATTTTGACGGGGGGCCAAATTTTTTTTTTGTGTCCCCAAAAAGTGGGTCAAAAAATTACGGCGTGGGGTTTGGGGCCCGCTTAAGGGCCCGAATATTTTTTGGATTCTCGATGCTCTGTGGTGCGATCTGAGGCAATTTCTGACCACTTTAGCCATTGTTTTTTTGAGGAAAAGATGGTGGTGTACTCATTGCCTGCCTTTATTGCGACGTCACATAAAAAAAAGAAATTGGTTTCGTTTTTTTTTGGGGGGGGGGGGGGGGGCATGGCCCCCTTTGCCCCCCCCCCCGGATCCGCCCTTGGAGATTTCGACAGGAACAAAGGAAAACTAGATAGAGGGAGGGTATGCCCATTGTCAGTGTCACAACCATTTTCGCCGGGATAACCGCAGTGGTTAACGGTCGTCCACAACACCTTTACCTTGCATCTTGTCGCCAGGATTTTTCTAGAGGGGGGAGGGGGGACATTTTTCCCCAAAAACTCCTGTATTTCTCAATATATTCTAGATTTCACTTTTAGAGGAGGACAGGGACATTTTAAATTTACACCAATATGATTTCGCGTCTCTTTTTCTTTTCTTTTTTCTTTTTTTCTTCCTTTGTTTTGCTTCCCCTCCCCCCTCGCGACGCCCATGATCTTGGCCGACTATCAAAACGAAAGTGAATAGCAAATGACACAAAAAGAATCAACCCTTCATGCCCTGTTTTCGTAGTATTGAAATAACAACCATTGTCAGGCGCGTAGCAAGGCCCGGGGGGGGGGTGAACATTTCTTAAAAAGGTCACTTGCACATCCGTGCTGAACTGTACACACCTTTTTCTTCTCTGGACACTTGGCCTCCTTAAAATCAAATAGTGGGGGGGGGGGGGGGGGGGGGGGGGGGGGGGGGGGGGGTAGTATCATTTGTCAATGGGGGCGCTGTTCAAAACCGACAAGATGCACACTAACGGACATTGTGTGGTGCTTTTCAGGGCGATACATGCGCGAAATGTAAAAAAAAAGGCACCCGCATGGCACAGAAATCTAGGGCACTAGTTTATTCACAAAAAGGGCACTTGTTCAGAAAAAAAGGGCACTTGTTCAGAAAAAAAAAGCCCAATTTTTACAAATATTCGGGGTAAAAAAAGCGCTGGTCAAAAAAGGGCTTTGAATGAACCAGGGCAGTCTTTACAAAATATTGGGAGGGTAAATACTCCATCCCCCCCCCCCCCCCCGCTGGCTATATACGCCTATGACTGTACTGATTGCATGTTTCCTTCATTTTCTTCTCATGAAACGGGACACATAGCAGGCACGTCGCGTGCATTACATACAACACAAGAACCACGGTTCGCCCCAGTAAAGGGCACTAGGTCCTGAAATCCCCAAAAATTTCATGTTTTGGATCATTTACTTTAAAGCCCGAGTCCATCATTTGCAGCTATCCAAAAAAGTAACTGGCGTAATTATTGTTTAAAAACATACTGGTTGAAAGATAGTAAGGGGACTAAACTCCCTGTGAAATTATCCTTTCTGGCAAGCTCTCATTTTGAAGAAATCAACGAAAGAAAGCACTTTCAACGGTGCTTCTTAAAGGTGTAGTCCATCATTTGTAATTTGTGCATTTTGTTCGTTTGAAGCAACAAAAGAGTTCAAAATGTAATGAAGGATACTGAGCAACTAACCTGATGAAGTTTCAGCTAAGCTTCAGCTGTACATTCCGAGAAAAACAGCATTCTAAGATCTCAATTTCAAATCAAAAGTTGCTGAATCATGTTTTGAATTGTTTTGAATTGCAACTATACGCGACGTCGCGCACTGATCCGACGAATTATAACAACCGCGCGCGCGTGTGCGTCGTTCGAATACTTGTGCGCGCTGCGCTGAATAACAAAACGAACTACTAATTTAAATTTTCCTACGGTGCTTCTTAAGAATCACCGTTGGAACTGCCTTTCGTTGATTACTTAAAAATGACAGCTTCCCAGAAAGAATAATTTCACAGGGAGTTTAGTCTCCTTACTATCTTTCAACCAAGTTAGTTTTTCAACAATAATTACGCCAGTTACTTTTCGGATGGCTGCAAATGATGGACTCTACCTTTAAGAAGCACCGTAGGAAAATTTAAATTAGTTGTTCGTTTTGTTATTCAGCGCAGCGCGCACAAGCATTGGAACGACGCACAGGCGCGCGCGATTGCTATAATTCGTCGGATCAGTGCGGGACATCGCGTAAAGCTGCAATTCAAAACAATTCGAAACATAATTTAGCAACTTTTGATTTTAAATTGAGATCCTAGAATGCTGTTTTTCTCGGAATATGAAGCTGAAGCTGAGTTGAAACTTCATCAAGTAAGTTGTTCAGTATCCTTCATTAGATTTTGAACACTTTTGTTGCTTCAAACGAACAATATGCACTAATTACAAATGATGGACTATAGCTTTAATATCCCATTTCAAACATTCTGGTTCAAAGGAAACCAAAAATGTCTTACCGTTCCGGAGGAAACCAAGCTAATGTCTTACCGTTCCGGAGAAAAGCCGAAAAAAACCTCGGTTGTTTACATCGGACACGACTGAGTACGAATACGTTTTTCCTGTCGTTTGGTCAATGTACGATATACACGTTGTGTTTGTCCATACAGCACCGTGGCCGCGAGCAGCGGTTTATGATACCACTGATCACCAACGCACAAAATGTGGTCTTGCAAAGGCGTTCTTCTTCCGCAAACTTTGCGAAGGAAAGCAAAATCGAGGGGCCCCAAAAAAGCGCTTCAAGACCAACTCAAGGTGCAGCTTTCACTGGCTGACATCCCTCACCAATCGTGGCACCAGGAAGCAACGAACAGAGTGGGCTGGCGCCACAGCATCATCACAGGCAGCCAGAAATTTGAAGCTGACACAGCAGCTGCTGAGGACAAGAGGAAGAGACGAAACTTTGGAGCAGGCAGCCTCTTAGACATCCTCATCTCAGGGCTTCCCTTGTCCCAAGTGCGGAAAGGTCTGTGCCGCACGGATCGGACTCCCCAGCCACCTCCTAGCCTGCAGGAGTAAGACAGAC